TTACACACTCTGGGCGTCCTGCGCCCTGATGCTGGCTTACCGCCGGGGTGTTGTGTGGTGAGTTCTGTATCGAGCCCCTGCCTCGTATGACAAGGCCTTGCAAAAAAGGCTCTTGCATACTTTGTCCATTTATTTGCGTCGCGAGACGCGGCAGAGTTGCTTTGTTTGGTGATTTGATTGAATCAAGTTTGAATGTATTGAGAAATAGTATAAGAGTTTGGAGGGTATCCGAGTTTAAAACTCATAACACTTTCACAAGTAAGTTTATGACGTGACCTTAACAGACAGCACACTTTTCTCTTGTGGTCTTACAACTCTGGCTCCTGCCCCTGACTTGCGCTCTAACCGCCGGGCGTGTTGTGGTGTAGTCGTCATCAAGAGCCCTGCCATCGTATGCAAGGCCTTGCAAAAAAGCTCTTGCATACTTTTTGTCCATTTATTGCGTCCGAGAGCGGCCAGATTGCTGTTTGGTGATTTGATTGAATGAAGTTTGAATGTATTGAGAAATAGTATAAGAGTTTGGAGGGTGTGGAACAGGTTTAGAAAAAATAGCTTGGGGCTAGTCCGCTCCACGTGAATTAAAGAGTGGAGTTTTATTAGGCCATTAAGTAGTTACTTTTTCTTGATAAGGCGTTTAGTTAGACTTTTTAGGAGGTTGTAGGCAGCGGGCTTCAGTTCCTGGATTTGCAAATATCTTTTGTAATTTGATCTGTTGCTGAGGCTAGTATAAAGTGGTCGATAGGTGGTAGTTCTAGCTGTTTCAGGTAATTATTGTATGTGCGGCTTGGTTCTCGACGACATGCAGCTCCGCGCTCAGCTTTCGTGAGGAATCTAATGTTTCATTTCGCTGCTGTAGCCCAAGGCACGCGTACGTGCTCGCGCTGCGAACACATGCTTTATGGAGAAGAGCTTTTGTTTTACTTGCAATTGATTTAGTGCTTAGGGTAGGGGAGAGCCTAACTATCCGCGAGCCGATTTTCTTGGTAACTTCTCTGCATTACGTAATCCAGAGTAATTAGCTGTCCAATGTTATTTCGAGGCACGGAACTTTCTGTCCTTATGTCAAGCGAACTCCGTTAACTCAAAGTGGCGAAGCTGGATTTTCTCTTCGCCAGCTAAATAAAATAGCCTGGCACCTATTATGATTTATGGTGATTCCATTTAGCTTGCACCAATTCGCTAGGTCGTTGGTGGCATCTTGAATGCGTCGAACTGCGTTCTTTGCTTTTGAAAAAAAAGTGGCCTGTTGACAGTATTTCTCCAAAAACGTTTTCAATATTGCGTTTTCTAATTTCCTGAATGGGATATTAGCTGATACCATAGCGTGATACAACGTTTCACAAACTGGTTCTTTTTGGCGGATTCCCCATGTTTATGTTAACTATTGGCTTTAATTCGCATTTGAGTGTAATATTTGCCGTATATAACGCTCTTTCTACAAGCTGAGTTAAATGGTATTTCTTGCCACTTGAAACCTAAACAAAAAGCATTAAAAACTAAAAAATTAATTATCATCTGTATGCATTAAAATTGAGTTTCAAATAATAAAAGTGTACCGGTTAACTTTGGAAATTTTTAGCACCTATGTAGAGTAAGTTAAATACCGTTGATCTGACACCACGATAGCGCATCATCATTTTTAATACTTTAATACTGCACAAATTGGTCAATTTTGTGAAGTCATTGCTATATGGCATTGCTACGCACAATTGGCGATATTGGCATTGCTGCACACGACTGAACGTAGTTCAACTCAAAGAACCACATTGTTTCTGTTAAATCCAACAACTTAATTTCTTCTAAACAGCTCATGAACTAAAGTATACGTAAGAAACATCAATAAGCAAAGATAAGTCCTCAGCTGGCGTAATTGGATCCATGCAACCACGATCATTTTCTTTTGCGAATATTCAATCGTTTAATCTTAGAAGCGGAGGCAGGCTTTTCCACGAAGTCAGGAAGTAATGGCATGGAGACTTATCGTAAGATCCTTGTCTTGTATATTGATATCTCCGTATCTTACACATTAACGTAACTTAAAATTAGTATCATCCGTGTCTATTTTGCTGACCCAGACGAAAAAAGTTAAAAGAAGCCACAGACAAAAGAAATTAGGCAAATTATTCTCATTTTATGTTTTTAAAAGTAAAATAGGCACAATTAAGCTCTAATGTTGAAATAGGCGCGATGAAATTCACAGGTTTTTGTTCAATAATTCTAATATGTATATATAATACTTCATTTAATACAAGGCACACACAGAAAATAGGTTTTTACCTAAATATCCGCGGTGTAGTGATTAGCTGATGTAATTAGTCCTGCATGTGTGGTGAAAGTTTTATTGTGGGAGATGGCGGTGATTTCTCGCTAGTTGAAGAGACAGGCGCCGACATACACGTCGGCTAGCGGGATGTCATGAACCAGGTATCACCCGCCTGCTGGGCACCGCCCCAGCCGGGACAAGCTCACAGCTCACGATTGGTCTCCCAACGTGAGTCGTAATGTACTGTATGTAAATGTAAGTATGTGTAACTAAGGGGTGAGTGTAGGACAAGGAAGAGGAAGGAAAGATCGCGCGGTCCGTTTCTTAGGTTACTGCACCGGCATTCGTCTGGCGTCGATCGGAGAAACCACGTAAAACTACCGATCAGATTAGCCGTCCGCTAAAATTCTCCTCCAGACAACGACAGAATTCGGCCTCGCTGTGTATCTAGTATCGAAAATCATGCCACCGTCGGGACTCGAACCATACGACATCTCTGTCACAGACACTTCTCAGACCTCAATTGGTTCCCTGAATCACCTAAGCCTGTCGTCGTGTTACATAAATAAATGTATGTATGGTGATAATTCTATGACAATCAATCCTAGAGCAACGTGTGAACGGTTTTTTTAGATAAAATCAACTCTTATTGTTAATTTTTTTCTACATCAAAAGAACTGCAATTGAACCTACAATCTTACATCTGTTTTACTACATTCAATAACCTTATTAAAATTCTTAATTACTAAATATGAAATAGACAAAATGGAAAAGTTTTGGAAACACACATCATGTCAAAATTTTTAGGGGTAATGTCTGGTATTGAATTTTGGCCGTTCGTAAGATCAACCGAAATTGTCGAAAAACATATGTTGTAGAGAGTAGCCACTGTTGCCGGATCATTCACTTCTACCATTATCATTTAACAACATTCTCTACTAAGGTTTCTAGTTGATGAGTCCGTCTTTTGAATGACTTGCATGACATACACACGCGGATCCCAAAACTTTTGAGAACTCAGTGAAGTAGTTTGTTATAGGGTCAATCCATTTTAAGTTGCCCAGCACTGTTCGCTCAACCATATAAAAAAATCATATTTTTTACATTACGTTCTTTATGTTTCGGTTGTTCAAAAAATATCTTTTATTTATTTATTGTACTCGGTTCACAAATGGCGGCAATTATTGTTTTACGCAGTGCGCCATTTTTCGCGTTTGTAGACACTTACTCTTTTCTAAATCTTTTTGTTTCGGGTTGTTCTAGCATTCTAGAATAAAAGGCATTGGATTCAATATGCTCTGGCTTACAAATTGAAATATTATTTATCCACCTTCTATATTTTGTTTGAATAGAATTGAATAGAATCACAGCCTTAATTTTTTCTGTGCTTTTACACATAACACTTTAGTTACTTTTTGTAAAATATCATTGGTAAATAACGCATCACTTGAAAATTACATCCTCTCAAAAATTGGAATGTTTTATTTTTTCCACATTTTCAACTGTAATATCTTTGTTAGGGGACCTGATAAAAATATGAAAACTTCACAAATACTACATAACTGTGATATCAAACGTCAGTAAAAAATTCAACTTTTAGATTTAATTCGAATTAATTATTTTTTAATTGTAAACTTATGAATTCTTTTCTTGTCTTCGTATCCACATTAGGGATACATTGTACCAAGTAGTAATCATATTATTTTGATGCTATGTACCATTGATATTTTACAAAAAGTAACTATACTGTTATGTGTAAAAGCATAGAAAAATTTAAGGCTGTGATTTTACTCTTTCTTTGAAAAAGGTTTCCACCATTAGGTAAGTCAATTTTGACAAAATCTACAGATTCCTAAATAAATAGGCAAGGCAATGGGCAAGAAATAGGCAAGGCAAGATTCAAAGATCAACGAAAAGAGGCTTGCAGAAATCACAGGATGGTATGTGCCTTATTTGAACAATTTTTGCTGCAACCTAAAGGTCTCAGGCGGGAATGGACATTCGAAAAATTCACGCAACAAGCGGCATGAAGACTAACTGAATTTGAAAGAATTCTGAATAAAGTAATGAACTTAATTTAGTGTTTAATGCATTTATATATTTATTTCCATTCAGGTTTATCTGAATTGAGATATCCCGAAATTTTGTTACCTCAACATCAGCCAATTGCATTTGGTTCATTTTCAATGGGGCATGCGATATCCTGTTTGAAACGCAGACATTATTGAAATCGTTTTTCATTCATTTACTGTTGACATGTTATTACGAAACCAATTTGAAACATATTCCATTGTACTATTAATTTTTCTTTATTGGAAAGAATATTCGTGTCATCAGCAAACAGTGCTCTGCCGTTTGTAATGGACGAGAGCATATCGTTTACGTAGAAGAGGAAGAGGGTATGGCATACAGATCACCGTTCGGAAACCAATAGTTGAAAATAAATTTTTTAAAAGATGAGTAAATAGTGTTATTTCGTTCCAGTACAATATTTCTACTATTTGTAATCAATTTTTGAAGTACGAGGATATTCTTAGGAGAAAGTATAGGTATTCCCTAACACAAGAAAACATGCGTAAAATTGTTTTTCTCTGTACGTCACATAGTTTTTCTGCCGATAAATAAACCAGCAAATATAGAAACTAAATAAATTAATTGATAGATAAATGAAAATCACTTGTGAATTATATTTGTAATTTTAGGGCATTTATTGTATTGCAGATATTCCATAGCAAGAATGAGTGATTATTATCCAGACCGAGATCCACCTATGCCTGGATTTAGTGGTATGTAAATATTTTCGTTTTATTTAAATTTTATATTTTATGCAGTTTTATACATATGTGTAATTTTCTTATCGGTGTGATGCTAATTATACGAAACATAAGATTCACATGCAATAAATTATCAATTTTAAATATCAGCAAAGCAAATATTAGTAAAGTATTAGCAAGAGTGCCATATATTTAACGACAAACATTCCTCTTACGATTTATTCACTAACAACAAATGAAACTTCGAAAAAAAATGACATCGAAAAACCAGAGACCGGTGACAAGAGTTTTTATGGCGATAATTCACCGTTTTCAGGCGCACTTTTACATAATTATTTTCTTACGAAGTATTCGTAAGTCGAAAACATAAAAATTACGTTACGTTTTTAATAGCTTCCTCCCAATGTAAAGGCATACAATCTGTCCTATTAATGAGGCATAAGATATTCATGTGAGATAACTCATGTTGGCATTGTACAGCTTGGATGTCGGGAACAGTATTCATTTTCTAATGCTGTTTAATATAAAATTATTTTATTGATTCTTATACTTTATTTGGTAAAAAATAAATAGAAAGTTTTTTTAAAAATAATACGTGTCCATATTTATTGTCAGTTGTAGAATTAATATACGGCACATTCGGATTTAATAAATATCTGTATTTATTCTTCTTTCACTGTTAATAACACTTTTTGGTGTCATACATTTTTATAGGCCAGCAACGTGCACCAGCATCAGCTCGTGACTATTCACGCGGGGGTCACTACAGTGGACACTCAAATGCTCCAGCAGCTTCAACTTCCCACAACGTGCAGCAGTATCCAACACCATCATCGCGTACTTACAACGCTCAAAACATTCCTCCAAATGAAAACCATGAGCTAAATCTTAATGAAATATCTGGTCCCCATAACAACAGTTACTCTGATCTTCCAGATGACCAATCTTCTCCTCGATTCATTGGAAACTCAAGTAACATTGGTCACTCTGTTCAGCAGTTCCCTCCACGGGACGACTATCAGCATTCATCTTCTGATATGTCTCAACCTCAAACATCTTCAGATGAACAAAATCCAGCCCCAAATGTGAGGAATCAAACTCACTTTAAAGAACTATTCGATTATCTTGAAAGGCTGCGTAACTATCATTTTTACTGGCATCAACAATCTCTGCACTACCGACATTATATACAATCTCAATTAAAGCGTTTACAAGAGGAGTGGAGACATTACACTCAAGTACAACAAGATCTCTACATTCAGCAGAAGCAATGTCAAGCACAACTAAAACATATTCAGCAGCATGGCCCACGCCAGTTCAATGTCTCTCATCAACTTCACTCAAATGCTATTGAAAAACGCATTGATCAGCTCGAAAAACAGCGTTTGGAGCAGATGCGATTGCAAGACCTTCTTCTTGTGAAACAAAACCAGTTACATCAACAAATCCAAGAAATGGACCAGTACCGACAAGTAAATGTTCATGAAAGTTTACATCAACAATTTCACGAGCTACAATGTGGAATTCAGCAGTTCTATCTTCAGCTGGAGAAAGATAGGAGAGAATTCCACTCGGAGTATGAAGAGCAGAAATTTCAATTGCAAGAAACCATACGGTTTGAGAACAATGAAATATTAAGGCAGCTTCGTGAATTTGAAGGTAATGTATACGCTCAGATTGAACATATCCAACGACAGCAGGAACATGAAAATGATTTTACACAACAGCTTCATCAAATGCAACAGGATTTGCTAGCGCGGGTTCAGGAACTTGAACAGGCCGCACAAGAGGATGTGCAAGAAGAGCAACTGCAAGTACAACCTCAGATTGTTCCTCTTAATGTCCCGGATCAGATCCACGCTCATGGTGGCCTTGGATTAGATGTGGAGATGGATCCACCGGCAGTTGATGATCGAGACCCCAACGCTCTACATTATCTGGAACAAGGCCTCCAACAATGGTTTCAATGGATCCAGCAAAACCCACAACCATTAGTTGGCCATGTAGCCAACATTCACGCGATGTTGGAAAACAACCCACAAAACCAGCTGTCTCTTCAATTGCTGGTGCTGCAGTACGTGATGAATTTCAGGGCTTACATGAAGCAAATACGTCGCGACGTGATGACACAGCACCAAATTAATGTTCTTCAGAATGACCGCTTAGAGAGATTAGTAAAGCAATTACAACACCAAGTGGCTGCCCTATGGCACCAAGTAGCTAATCATCATAGAATACTCACTCAACTGCAAGAAAGGCAGAATCGTCAAAATTAATTCACGTGTAAGCCTTGAGTTTTTCAGTGTTTTTCAGATGCCGCACGTAAAGGCAATATACTAATTACACCTTTTCTTATTTCTCATTAATGCTATATTCTTTAGTATAGAGTATATGTGATTTTGTACCCAATCCAGCAATCCTATCAGATTATTTATCTGTAACATCTGAGAGAGAGCGTGGAGAGAGAGAGAGAGACTACATATCTAAAATCCTGCAAGCTCAACATTGCAAACCTGTAACAAATTATTTACTCGTGAGATATTCCTATACCTAGCAAATTAATAATTGTATTTCAGAACCATTGCTATTGCTAACCAAAACCATGTATAAATGTTGCATTTACGTATGCTTAAATTGCTTTTAATATTTTTTCACTGTCCTTTCAAAAGAATGACAAAAATTAGAGCTTGAAAGGTACGAAATGGGATATAATAATAAAATCAAAGTGTCACCGTCAGTCCGAAGAGCAAACTGTCTGTGTTGTCTGGGTTATAAACCATATATGTACTTGCCATCCAGAAGCATGCAACAGAGCTCTAAAATTCATCTCACGGAAGGTGGGAAATTACAAACACGCGTAGTAGAAATGCTATCAAAGGCGCGGCAGTATAAAACAAATAAGTGAAAATTCAATTTTTTCCTCAATAAATGTCATTAATTCAAACTACAACAATAGCAATAATAATAATAACAATGATAATGATTACTGAAGGAAGAATGATTATAAAACATTTACATATTGAAACTGTCAAATTTGGAACAGCAATAAAAGAAAATTTAAGTTATTAAACGTTGTATACCCAGAGTTAAAAAAACTAGTTTTAATAATTTAATGAATTTTAAAAGTTTACCTGCATGTTGAATCAAATTTTAATTAATTGTTTTAGATTGGCAAATAATTATATACCTGGGCATTGTATATAAAATAATGAAGCAATTATAAGTGTCAAGTGAATTATATATTGTAATTTCAGATGTTATGTATCAGTGTTCTCTCAACTCTTGTATTTTTGTGTTCCAATAAATATCAAAATGCATATTTTCTTTTATTTAGCTAATGATCACTAGACAATTCAGGATAGTTATGTAATTTTCGTCTGTAATAAAACAATATCTAATTAGTAAGACCGGATGACCCTATTAAAGTTATGATTTCTGAAGAGTATAATCATCACTCACTTTCAATTTGCATGTATCATAACAGGTTTTACTGCAATTAAATGTTCATAAAATTAGCCAACTTCATTTCATAAGAAATGGGTAAACCACAGAATTAATTAGATTGGAAATATATTAAATATATTGTTAAAAAGCCCATTGTTTGTACGACCTAAAAACCTCCTATTTGACACCTCTGTTTTCACTCTCAATCCACTATCAATGTCTTTCATATGATGATTTTCAGAAATGATTCCCAGCACCTGGTGCCATGCTCGTCACGTGAGCCTCCTGCTAGAAATTGTTCCACATGACAAGCTTGAATCACAATCTCTTCTTCATTGCGGCTAACAATTTTTAGAGGATCCTTTACTTCCTCACCTTTAACAATAAACTGGAATGTGCGAAATCTTAAACTGTATTTTAATTAGTATCTTCAGAAATGTCCTTAGATGTTTTAAGACGTATGTAAAGAGTCCGATTTTTCCCCATCGAATGTTTTTTTTTGTAAACTGTGTTCCGCAAAAAAGTAATTATCTGCGAGGGTTGTATTAGTGTTTCGCGTTTTGTACCAGCCTCATGTATCTTTACAGCATTATCATTGAAATTCTATGAGATTTAGATAACATTAAGGTGACCTTTTCTATATGAAACATGGTTATCGTATAATACATCAATAAAACAAGTACGAATATAGATTTAGTTCCGCCAACTGACACCAGTGTCCAACTGACAAAAACAAGAAATATTAATCACATTGTATTTCAACATTTCAATTTATCGTGCCGATGGTTTAATTTTGGGAGTAATTCATTTTATTAAAAAAATTGTTTTATTAAAAAAGCGCCATTGGATGTGATAATTTAAAACATTTATTTAAGAAAATAGTACAAAAGTGTCTATTATTGTTGCACTTATTCTAATATATCACAACATTGAATGATTGTTCCACTCTGACACAGAGTTCAGTATCTATTCTGTCAAACGAAAAGTGTTCCATCCAAAGTTTTTAACATTGGAGAAGAGGGAGTGAGTATTAGTTCCGAACGCATCCACTACTCATGTCATTAGTCGCATTAAGGCAGTGCATGTTATATTCCCCGGGACGCCGAATTGTCCGTTCTTTCGACTTTCACGATTGCTAGAGGGGTTTTCTCCTCCAGGTATCTCCAGATGCGAAACACCGCCGAAGCCGGGAGACTCTCTATGCTCCAGACTGGTTTCCTGACATCTATGGTACTATAGTGCATGTGTGTATGTATGTAAGGGAAGAGAGAACGAAAAAGATGAAGAAAAGATCGCGCGCTGTCCGTGGCCCTTTTATTAGGGTTACGGTTCTGGCATTTATCTGGTGTTGATCGAAAACTATTAATCAGAGCAGCCGGCTACTGGAATTCTCCAGACAGCGGTTAAATTCGACCTATCTGTATAGCTAGTGTAGAATATCCGCCACGGGTACCACATGACGGGTTTGTACCACATGACCTCCCGATTGAAAACGATACATAAACACTGGTCGAAAATTATTTACTCGTATTAAAGTAATCCTTATCACGTTGCCTTTGGGCGCGGAAATCACGCCTTCCTGCACATTCTTACCCAAATACGCCAACTCCTGCACACAAACTGGATTAGTAAACCGCATTACAACAGACTGTCAACAGAAGTACAAGGGTCTACGTTTTTTACTCCGGCGGTAAATGGCTCATTTCTGCACAAAATGTACAGTCATATGTGAAAATAATGTCGTAACATGATATTAATAGAAAGGTGCTGATATCCATGTGTTTTTCAAAATTACATAAATAAGTAAAATTGTGTAAGCAAAATGTTTCAACAGTTCGGAAGTCGCTATCAGAATTTGTCATCAGCATATTGCCAGGAAGTGTCTTCAAAGGAAACAGATTTTTAAATTGTGACGGATTGTCCCGAAATAGACAGGTGTAAATGCCGGGGTGGCCATTCTTTTCTTGGAACACATTTCACTTTTTTTTTCTTCAGAATTTCAGTACTTCTTTTATTTATCCATAATAAGATTTATTGAGTATTTCTCAGACCAAAACAAATTTTGTGGTCTTTCAACAGTTATAATAAAGTTTTCTCATTAAATTTATTATTTTACAGTTTAAAGCTATTCCATAAATACCTTAATCTATTTTTGCAATTAATCACATCTAAATAATAACTAGGATCTCGTAACTTTTACTTAAAAACATAACCTACATTATATGTTAAGTAAATTCAATTTAAAAGACATTATTTTAGGCTACAGTGTTATACTTCTCTGGGATCTTATTTATTTTTATATTTACCGCTCACTGAAATATGCATTCGTGACCTGGTAACTATTCCCTCTACGCTTTCTATTCTACACACTCTCAAAGCCGATCTTTTAAAAGCCTTCACACATGTGAACATTAAATTAGAACAATATATCAGAAGGCACGAAGAGCTTGTTTGTACACAGAGGGTTGGACAACAATAGGCAACACCCTGGAACATTTCATCGTCCATCCGCGAAAACAAAAACACTTTCACCACTACCAATCATGACTGAAAAAGTGTTTTCTGAATTAGAATACGACACTGAGTTTCGTTGCTTTTCTAGTCCTCAGCTTTTCTAGTCCTCCGATTATACTCAGGTCTATCTACAAATCAGTACAAATAAGCTAACAAGTGTAAACAAAGTAATGAACTATTATCGTAACTTCGCCCGCCAATGAACAAGGACATTTCCACAGAACCCTTTAAAAAGTTACTAAGTATCGCTGTCTGCCACTGCCAGCCTACGTGTTCAGTGGAAAGTTTCATCCAAGTGTGTGTTTAAACCTAACAGGTTTGCCGACGTGACCAGTAAGTTGGACAGACATACACAGACAAAAACTCTTAACAAACGGGACCCAATCAGCATCACAGGAGAACAGAATGACATTAACTTGGGTAGTCACTTTACACCTGACCAACATGTTGATTAACTACAACTTGTTGCGTAATCACACACACACACATTATAGTCTGGACTCTGCCGTTCTGGTTCAACAAACCCACACAGTGCAACGAATAAAACACGCCAACAACAAATTCAATCTCTAGGCACAAATATTAAACAATCTGAGCTTAGGTTTCGGCCGGCAATGAGCGAGCCGGCGGGTATAAAATATGCCGACTCGCTCACGCCGGCGGGTTTTGCTCTTGAAAACCTCGCGCTTTGGTCAAAACGCACACCCAGGCTGGCGCGTATTCGTGAGTTGCACGGGTGACGAGTCACATGAGTGGCGGGGAAGAAGGGGGCACTCGAGAGGTAAATGTGTATCCACAGGTGTGTATGATGGCAGCTGGCGGTCAGGAAATACCGGAATGTGTGTACGGGGGTCGTCAATGATGTGCATTATTTTGTAAATAAACTTGAATATACTGTTCATGTTTGTGTTGCGTACTTCCACGACGCCACACACATCCTTTCACATCCTTCGCAGTGTCTTGCCCAAGACCCATCTCCATTCTCCCCTAGTTCTCTTCCGTCTTTCGGACCTCTTTCGAATCCACTTTTACCTAATCCCTGTAACTAATCCTTGTACTTCCTTTTCTAATATTTATCCCTCTTCACCTGTCGCCTTACCTACCTCTCTGCACTTGGGGTAAAAACGAGACAAATAATGACTATAGTAGTCAGATGAAGAAGAAGAAAAATATACGTGTAGATACACTAAAAAATCGTATAATGAATAGTAATATTCTATTTCTCTCAAATAAAATTGATTTTGTTCCGGCAGCATTACTCTGCGTTCCAAGACAAGTAGATGCTATACAGAACATCGGTTACCTCAAAATGAAATTAATTATCTC